TTTTTGTATTTTCTTTATATTCAAAAGTCTGTATTTATTTGATTACAAATATTTGTCTAAAAATTATTGCAGATGTACCTCCGGTAAAACAAGTATACAACCCGTTTGCGATCGAAAGGCCACACGCTACCCCTTCGATGCTCGAACGGCAAGGTTCCTTCCGTGGTTTTACGCAGCTGAACCAAGCGTCTCCGTTCAAAAGACAGCTCAGTCTGCGGATTAACGATCTTCCTAGCAACCTTGAACGTGCTCGTAGCCACAGCCTCGAACCGACGGATTTGTCGCGGATGCCATCTGCTATGTCCCACATTGTGCCATGAATACATTTTGAGTAAAATGTCTTTAAAACTCATTTATCCCTTTTTACTGATCCTGTGTAAATACACTCAAAAGTAGAAGCAAGAAGAAGATTACTGTTCTACAATATAGTGACCATCCTGTAGTATTCTTAATGTTTTACTGTAGGAAATGCCACCTGAAGTTCATTTATACACATGGCATTAAAATACATCGATTACAGCATTTACAGACTTGTACGGTTTTTATGATTTTTACTTTCTGTTTTGAATTTCCCTTCGCAAACATTTTTATCTACTAGAAATTAGCATAATATTACAAGTCTGTAATAATTATTTCGGAAGCCTGTTTCCAACATGTTATACGTCGCTATCAGACATTTACCACGTATTTACATGATTTATGTACAGCATGCGTTCTGTAGTTCCAAGCACCAGTTCAAAGCACCAGATTACAGCGTGTTAATAGCGTCCATTACATGAAATGTCCGATAATACTACGGTACCGCTTTTGGTTTTACAGTTAGTCCAATACCTGAAATATCGCCCGGGGGCCAAGACAGCGTTTCGGCGATGTGTCAGCAGCTTTCGCAAGGGCTTTCACTTCTTTCGAGCAGCGACGACTTCGGACCAATTACTACGCAAAGCACAAGTTCTGTCGCTAAACAGCTTTTCAAGAGCACTGTAGCTAATAATACTCCGCCAGGTACGTACATTCTATATTTGCTATTTAAGCTTCATTTTATTTACAATTGCTTGATAAGATTTTAATTCAAATCTAATAATTTATTGGTCATGTGATTATGTTCTCAATTATTAATCATAATTGCTATATTTATTTTTAGTAGCATCTAGCAATTCTTTGGAAGAGATGACGCTACAAAATGGTCCAAGTCTAAACAACAACAATAATAACAACAATAATGACAAGAACGAGGATCTCAGCAATTTAAATCACGTCGGGCCCAGCTGGCGGGAGACGTCGCCAGTTTTGGCTTCGAATCACAGGCTCACGCCGATATTGAACAAAACCAACAACATCAGTCCTATTCTTCCGAGAACGAACACACCCACCTCGATCGTTATGAGCACCCCCGCGCCAGCTACCAGCATTAGTGCGTTTGGTACATCGACTTCGGCGAGTCCAGCCTTTAGCACAGCGTCGACGTCCTCTTTGGGAAACGTCGCCACGCCAGCCGCGAACAGATCTCCAATTCCAGTAACTTCCGCTCTCGTACCGATGACAACTTCGCCGAGTACGAGCGTGGTATCCACCTCTTCGGTTCTGTCTAACAGTATTGTCAACGATGCTAGCCAAATTACTCAGGCTCCGGTGGCTAGTACTATTTCCACGCCAGCAGTAAGTGTTTAAAATTCCAAATTTATGTATTATACTAATCAAAAAAATTATGGCATCACGTTTTGTCGAAAATTGCCCAAGTTTGGAAGATCGACACGACTCGACAACAAAAATTGTTAGCCAATCTGTAGACACCGAAGAGTGAAACAAAAAATTTGATGACCCGTAGGTTCAACCAGTTGCAACGACGGCCGCGTTGCCTAAACCAGAGCAGTGGCTGGGCAGCATAACCGGCTCGGCGCCAGTGCAATCCCCGTCGCAGGGACATACGAGTCCTCGACGCGCGCCTCCGCTCCATGCGAGAGCCCTCTCGTTGGGCTCAGCCGCGATGGGCCAGGCCACCAGGACCGGTCCCTCAGATCCGTTCGACGCGGAATGGGCGGAGATCGCGGCGAGAAATCTGCGACAGGCGAGCACGACGAACCCGTTCATAATGCCGAACGCGACCCAAGCGTTCCAGGTGCAATTGTAGCGTCAGGAGTTCATTAATAGCGTTGCCAAGTACTTCCGTTCGAGTACATAGTAACGATTACATGTCCGTTCGCGCTTCGATTTCTCGCATGACCGGAAGTATTATACGTGAAGCCTCGACTCTGGGTCGCATGCTTTTCTCTAATTGAAGTAAGGGCGGTGATCCAGTAAATTGAAACAGGATATCGAGGATCGCATAATTTAAGGCGACGAAGATGTGCGAGGGTCGGAGACGCGTATCGATCTCGATAAGATGTTTAGTAACAATGATGAAACGTAGCAGCAGAAATCAGCACAAATGAAAATGAAAAACACGTACCCGTAAACGTTGTTTTAGAAACTCTAGTAGATCACGCACACAGCCTCGATAACTTCGAATTAGGAGACGAGAGAGGGGACCGGGAGATATTACAAGGGACCACGCGTCTGGTCGCGTTGGTAAACGTGGATTAATTATAGAGGAGAACGCAGGCTCGATCGATCGGGCGCACACGATCTCGATCTTTAGATGTCGTCGCACTTTATTCATGAAGGGAACTAGATGATAATCGCGTCGCTGATATCGATAACAAGTACTTAAATGTCTACCACAAGATACTTAAATAAAAGTGGCGTACGATAATCTTGAGTAGTTTAGGCTGAAAAACGGTTAAACGTCGTTTCTGCATGGCGAAAAAAAGCAAAATTATTACGCACCCAAGATTAACGCTGCACCAATCAAATGTTTCGTCAGATAAAAACAAGAAAAAAAAACGAAAAAACATAAGCGAAGTAAATAACGAGATCATATGATGATGCTAAGTAGCTTGTTAGTCCGAAGGTCCGCGCGACAGACGTGGAAACGTTACAATTTTCTTTCTTTTCGTGTGATCAACGACCGATGGAAATGAGAAAACCTGTTTAGCTTAGCCGGTTCTAACTATTAAAAATTGATGATTCAATTAACGATGGATTAGAAGAAACTTGAGGTGAAAAGAGAAAGAAGTGATATTTGATGTTGAATCGAACTTTTGGAGGCGGACTGTGATATGGATACGTGGCCAGTACTTAAGTGCGAAAATGAAATGGGCTGTCACGATTTTGCTCAAAGCTTTTGTCTGTAAAAGGAAGTGCACGTGAACTTGGTTAGCGAACAGGGACTATCGTTCCCCTACCGGCAGAATTGATCACAGGAAACTTGAATATACTTTACGCGAAAACGTAACACGTACACGCAACTTAGGGTACTTAAAGCAAAGACAAAGTTAGATGTTGAAGTTTCTAGAGTCAGTACATACGTTCCACGCTATCGTTGTCTAATATCGTACGAGCGTTCGTTAAACGACTGTGTTGAAATGCGAGGATGAATGTTAATCAAAGGTTCGCGCAATTGAGACACACAAAAGGTGCTTCCGCTTAAATGAAAACTAAATACACACTTATATATAGAGAAACGAAAGTAAATGGTAATACGATATTCACAAAAGGTCGTTTCACGAGCCGACACGAGAGAGCAACGATACACATATGGAATCGCGTTCTGACGTGAACCTATAGTACTACGGGTTGTTATATACATAATTACGTTGGTTGTTGAACGATTATAAAGGCACGAGAAAGCTTCTCACGTCCTATGTACCAATGAACGCCATACAGATGGAATTAATGTTGTGTCTTGAAGCTTCTATCTTTTCGGTTTGTGACTGATCGTGAGCTTTTCATTTTCTTAAATATGATTGATGGTTCAACCCCTCGTCCCCTCTATTTTGCCTTAAGTGCGACGGAGTTGAGTAGAATTAAAATAAAAGAAATACCTTCTACTAGTTTTGTCAGCGTATACAATTATTAAACATTGAACGATAAGTTCGCTACCGCAAGAAACCCGCAAATTGTCCTAGTATACGATTAACATTATAAATCATTAAATTTTGAAGGCAGAGAAATCTAAAATCTATGATAAAAAAATAATATATAGCTACTATGTGTCGCATCATATGGCGAGGGGTTGATATCTCGAACTTGGATAAAATGAGGTGTGACGTAGAATGATTTTGTCGGAGAAATAGGGTACGTGTTCAATCGCCGTTCCGACGATTCGTGTGTGTGCATTGTACATAAAATAATAGTGATATTTAAAAGGAAAACAATTGTAACGAAATGAGACGAGGAGCAGCTTAGGTGGAAGAATGAAACGAAAACTGTGTGTATGCATGAGAGAGGAAATTATTCACCGAGAACAGGCGACGATTCTTCGCGCAACTGGAAATTCTGTCCTTCGTTGCTGACGTTCCGTTCAGTTGTAACTGTAAGTTATCTTTGTAAATAGTTTGATAACATTTCTTAGTATGAATCGCGTTGCTTTCGAGTACGTTTCGGTTCTTTTTCCGTGTTTGGTGACGATTACTATAGTTCGTTCCAAATTAATTTTCCACTGAGAGAGGCAATTCAGAACGAAATATCTTAACATCGCCCTTTTTGACTTTCTGAACATGCTTATTTTCAAATAGTGGAATATGAAAGATGATACGTACGACAAACTTCGGTTCACGGAGTGCAGTGACTATAATTGACACACTTAGGGAGAAATTAAAGAAATGTTTGAAGTGTCACAGTAACCGAGCGATCCAATTAATTTTCACTTGATATTCAGTTAATTTGGGCAGACCGTAGTACATATCATTGAGAAAAATGGAGCGAGTATTCGGCTTATAATGACTCGATATCCTTCTCGTTTGGCGAGATTGAGAGCTTGATCTTCCATCTTTTGTCCGTCCGGTAAATCAAAAGCAAAAGAAGAGAAACGAGGAAATACCGACGCACGAATGAAAACGTGGAAAGGTGAAACGTTTTTGTCGAGTTAGCACAAAGTGTGATCGTCGGGTGTGTTCTTACGCGATGCGAAATTTGTACAGTAAAAGAAACGTGCAAAAGGAGAAAGGGACGTAGGTTGACCAATGTACTTAAATTATTGCGTAATGCAGCTTGTTTTATTTTCTTCTCCTCGTTCTAATGAGTTGTAACAAATTGAACTTCGCGAATCTGTAATGTTCGACGAAACTATATGTACATATATCGTTTAAAATGATAATCTCTTTTTAAAAGGTGTAGGAATACTTTTGTCCTGTATTTTTGACGAAGAGCAGCGTTGTTCTCAAAGTTCTGACGGGGAACCCTGTATCTATACAGGGACGATTCGTTGTATACTATTATCGCTTTAAGTACTTATTGTTTTTTCCTCTCCTTTATTTTCTTTATATTGTTTTTTTTCCTGTATCGATATACGTTAATAATCCATTCAGTTACCTTTTGGCTGAAGTCTAAATTGAAATACCAGACGTCCAACTGGTTTCCTGCATAAAAATAATCGAATACGTTCTTTCCTTAATTCACTTTAGAAGGAATAGGGGTAACGTATGTAAAATAATTTATTGTAACGTAAGAGAGGGAGAGAGAAAGAGAGAGAGTCAGACATTAGTCAAGCGATGTTCCAGTGTCTCGCTCGACTGAAAATTGCGTTATTACATACACGATTGGTTAACTCGTTTAAAACAATAGCACATTGGGACACTGGAATTGAAAAAAAGGGAAAAATATAAGAAATGAAAATGGGAATAATTAACGAGCGTGCCAAATTTACGAAAAAGAGTAACAGCATTATTTTCGACAGTACATCGTGCATGCTCCTGTGGTTGTGTTGTACATAGTGTCGCCGATCGATTCCTGGATTAATGTACGACTGCGTGTATATTACGTGAAAGTATCCTTGTTCGTTTTACAATGTATCTGCCTCTGTAAAGATACGATTTATTATAATATCTGTTGTGATTACCAAACGGGTTCTCTTATTTTTTTATTGGTACCCATAAACAATAGATACACATGTGTATGATATGCTACAGGGGTGACGAATTGGCGATGCCTCGAGAGCCACTTGCGGTTCTTCTCTTCGGCCTTCGCTTCTTCTTTTATGCAGGACAGAATTGAGCACCGTTCCTTATTGCTTTTCAGTTATGGGCGCTTTATTCTCTACCCATAGGGTGTTTTGTGGAAAATTTTAAGGGGTGATTCTAGAAGCCAAAATAATTGCAAAAGTCAAGAATAAAAGAATTGTATCTGGAGCTCCTTATACGCATTAAAATGTTTCTCATACAGTAGTTGAACACCCTGTATATTACGCTGTATGGTCACCCCTGATATACAGGTGTATGTAATATACACAGACATACATTGTTCGTACACATATTAGATGTTAAACCGATTACATAATTTTTTAGAGCTCTTATCATTATTCTCTAACTTCAAATTAATCATTTTATTCGAAAGCAAATTCACATTTAACATCAAAATTTAATTTAGGCTATCTGGATACAAAATTTTTAGTTTTTCTCTTTTAAATTGTATTTTGTCAGTTTAACGCTTTTATCTGCGATTCCAATGAAGACATAAAATTATCATTTAGTTGTTTACAAAAAGTTCAATCATATTGAAAAATGACAACTATCGAGGCCGGATTATGCAGATATCCACCCAGCATCCCTTCGCGTTGCAGTTCAAGGAAGTGTTGCGTTAATCCCTGTCCACCTTGTCTGAATATCAAACCACCAGGCAGTAACGGCACTTCCTCGGTTCATTTTCAAGTCACATATACTTGTAATGGGTACGTTGATTAAATTTGACAGGAGTATAAAGTTACATACGTATATAATATTAGAGATTTTTTAACAGCCCCAAATTCTTGCCCTGTTATTACCCAAAACCCATATGCTGCCAAATAGAATGTCCACCAAAGAAACCACCTCCATGTTATGCAAGATTACTCGACAGTTGCGGAAACCCAATTTGTGTATATTTCTAATGATCATACAACAAAAGAACTGTTAATTTGTTACTTTTTTATCTGACTGTGATTATGAATTGTGAAGTATTTTAACTCTGATCTTTTAAATGTTATTTTAACTAGGAATTCAGTTAATCATGTACGAGAATGTAAGTTCTATTGTATGCTCGATATAATCATTAGAATTTCGTTACATTAGGTACTTCAGTTATGAACAAACAAATAAATTTGGATACTTAAGACTAAGCATGGTATTAGATTGACATTATTAGTAATTAATATCCGTATGTAGTAATTTTGTTAAACAGGTTTTATTATATTTTTACCATCGCTTCTGAAAGTTAAATTCTAAAGATATTAATCATTACTGGAAACTAGTTTTTGTATTATGGCCGAGATATTATATCTCATGCTTCTGTAATTTTGTGTGTAATTGATTAACTCGTCTATTGATCTTCATATGCATAACATAATACATCAGTGTGAATATGTTCGATTTAAAACAGACAGCAGGAACAAAAGAAAAACATAATCGAGTAAATATATCTGCAGACATATTCCTTGCGTTAAATTCTAAGACTGTCAGACATAATACATTTTCTAAATTTTCAAGTTACTTGAAACATGCATTCTTCGTTGGATTATTTTTAAAACTATTGTAGTGTATTTTCCTGTTAGGGAAACGTTATTTCAGCAATTTCTTGCAATAAGCTCGGTAAATGAAAATGTCTTGTTACGAAGAAACCAAGTACGTCAGTACCTTACCTCCGCCATGTTGCCACCCTAAGCCTCCGCCGTTCTGTTGCCCAAAATACGGCTGTCCACCTGTCCAACAATATCCGCCTCCGAAATGCTGTTGCCCTTCCCCCTGTCCGCCTTTTGTAAGTTCCCAAATGAAACTGATTTCTTCATACTCTTCTGTATATTATATAATTTTTTTCTACAGTCCCATAATTTTGTTCCATACAATTATTATTGTAGCTCTTTATTGAAATTATAATTAAAATTAAGAGCTACATCAACCAATTAATATCAAAACTTCTAAATTCCGTTTCATAATTTATATGAGTACCTTTTACTACAGAAATTTATATTTAATCTTCGAAAAACCAATTACTTGCTTTCTAGTATTTAATAAATAGTTTATTACCATATTAGATATGCAGACAAAGACCAGAACCATCGAAACCGCCCACCTTATACGTGGTCGACTGTTTGCCTCCTCCTGGTCCAAAGCCAATCGAGTGTTGTCCTCCGAAGCAGATACCACCGAATTCTTGTGTACGATATTGTGTTCTCTCTACATGTGGGGGTTGCACTTATGCTCCTTGCTACTTTACGAAGATTCCTACGTGTATCTGTTCACCATGCTGCTGACTATCGAGCTTTAAAATTATTTTATACTTCGTATCTTTGATTACCTTACTGTATAAATTTCTAAGATCTGTTGAGATACACTGATGTTTTACACATAAATATTACAATCAGTAGTAGGTCAATAAACTATCAATATGAATACACCTATGTGTATCTGTTCAATATGCTACCGACTGTCAAGTTTTAAAATTATTTCACACTTCGTACCTTTCAAGTTCTTTAATATTGAATTATACTGCTGTCAGTTACATGTCTGTCATTACATGATCGGGGGCAGGTAGTATCATTATATAATCAGTGGTACGTGAATAAAATTATAATCATAAACCCTGTCGATACTTGATTCTCTCACGAAGAATAGTTACAGAGTTTTTCTGAAGAGTAAGGCCTGATAAAAATTTCATAAAAGAATTGATGACGTCCTGTTATTTTATAAAATAATTAACTTCCCAAGAAGGAAGAAATGTACATCGTAGTATACAGTTGAAATCATAAATGTAACTACAAGTTTTTTCTATTGATTCAATTTCTAACGCGTTTTGGTTCTAAATAGAGAACATCGCAGAGGGTAATTGATAGAAGCAACAAATTACTTGAATATCCTTTAGGATGTTGCGAAATATGGCAACCCTTCCCGTAAAGCAAGCAATTAATTACGTAAGTGAGTTTGAAATTCCTACAATCCGCGACGACGCGACGCAAGTCCGCGGAGAGATCCTGTCCCTTTCGTAATTATTTCGAAGCCCAAGGAGAATCCGAACAATGTAATCGATATTGTCGTAACTCTAGCACAGAAGCGTAAGGTTTCAGTTTTGGTTAATTGACGATCAATGTTTACTGTTCAGTCGGGCTGGCTGACGTGGCGACCGTTCGCATAAGAGAAACCTGGAAACCAAACTGTACGCGCTCTGTTTTGCTAAATTACGCAGCAAGAAATTCCATTGAAATTAGAAGGTATTCACCAGTAATGAGTTTTCATAACTAATAATACTTCGTAGCTGGCGCCGCCATTGCTGACGTTCGCCTTCGTGTCCGCCGCCTGCACCCTTTATTGTCTCTCCAAACTAAATCAATCCATGGCGATTGATGGGTCTGTTGATTCTCATTCGGAATTCCAGTAAAAAGGAAAGGATAAAAAATAATCGGTTATTTCGTTATTATAAAACGTCGACCGTGAGAAAATAAAAAGTTGTCATATAAAAACGAGGGAATCTATTGAACGGCATGAAAGGAAATAGGGAAAGTAATAAAAAAAGATGGAAAGGGAAATAGCAGTGATACAAGCGTATTATGGAATCACCGTGAATGGAACAGTTTTATGCGGTTCCAATTTTAGCGAGCGGCTCCAATAGCGCGCGGGTACGATTTCGTGTCGCGAGAGGGTTGCAGCGTCAGAAATAATTGAACGCTGAAAACGTTTTTAGAAAGGGGCCAACCCGAGCCAGTGGTTCGTTTCGCGCTTTGTGCCTTCGATTAATTGACCGTTCTTTTTACGCTGGCATGCTGTACTATGCACGCCGGGGAACGTTTATTGTCCTGATTGAACAATTGACTCCCGCACTTTCCACATTTTAAAATATTCCCCAGAAAGCAATAGAAACTTGAAATCGCTTCTCTTCAATTTTTATATAAGAAAATATTATAAATGGAGGTTTTATATCTGGCAATTTTTTGTTCTTACTGAAGAGAGTAACATAAATGGAGCATAACTTATGCAAAAGATACTATATTACGAGAATTATAATACTATTGAAGAGAGTAAGGGTAGTTTAAATTAAATATACATGGTGTCCTAGTAAAAGTGTTAGAGCCGAAAAGGAGTGATTCTATAGGTGTTTCCGAATAACAATTTCCTTTGGTAAAATGCAAAGTGAGGCATGGTTTTTGAATTATTGACGAAAAACACTGACCAATGAGAGCACGCGTAGGAACCGCGCTCAGCCACGAGAGTAATGGCTCGGATCGTAACGACCAACTCGGATTCTAACGATTGGTCAGTGTTCTTCGTTAATAATTCAAAAACTGTTATTCGTTAATAATTCAAAAATTGTTGTTCGGAAACACCTACAGAATCACCCTTTTTCGGCTCTAACACTTTTTCTGGGACACCCTATATCTTAACACATACTCCGTTCACTTCCACGTTTATTTTGCGGATGGAATCATTAAACAAACTTGTATGGCAATCAATTCAACTTGACGTGGTCACACGAGATCCTTCGTCAGGCTCGGACCAACTGGCCACAACTCTCGAAGTCCGAAAACTCTGAGGGGAGAGACAAGTAGATAGATGGAACAGAGTTGAAAGAGATAGTAGGTGGAGGAAAAGGGACACGAAAGCGAAAGGGAAAATAGGGAAGGCTTGGCAAAGAGTCATAAACAGAAGGGTAACGAGGCGCAACTTGGATAGTTGGCAAAATTCGACAGTCACGAACTCCTGCATTTGACCACTAAATGTTTCAAGAGATAAAAATTAGAAATATTAATTAATAAATTATGAAGTTAAAATAGGGCAAACAGTTGTACATATAATTCTGACAAGAAAATGGCACATACGATGAAGTCATAAGATGAAGTTTAAATAGAACAAGTCGATTACTTTTCCGCCGCGTCGCGTCTGATCGTCCCATCACGGGTACGTCTCGAAATCGATTGACGGCCGCGTAAAAGATTCATCGGTGATCGACGGTGGCTGAAGGAAACGAGCCAAGGGAAAGCGTACCGCCGGCGTTCTGTTCTTTTTCCTTGTTACGTCGATTTTCGTAACACTCCGGCGTCTCCCACGTGGATCAAAAGCAGCACTGCGGAAAGTGTAACCCGTTGCCAAACGTCCATCCGGTGGATCGACAGACGGGACGGGACAGCCCGTTTCTCTTCTCCTCGCGTCTCGTCTACCCCTGTAGATAGATACGACGCGACGTCGTGTGTCAAAATAAAGGAAAACGAGTACTTTCAGATTCCTTGGGACTGCGGGAAAGGCATCCATGATGTTCGACGTCGATCATGAAATTCCGTCGATTCTTAACGAAATTGATAGAAACATTCGTTCTAAGCACTTACCATTGATTGCTTATTTTTACTCTGTGGAGTAGAGTGGAATAAATAATAATAAATAGAGTAAATAACGTAATATATGTTCGACTGATTTCATTCTATAAAATTGTATTTCCAGAGGAAAAGGTGAAAACTCTTTCTGTGAAAGTGATGGAAATATTATATTCGAGATCTTTTTGAAAGATAGGAAGTAATTAATACTTTGATCTCCCGTGCAGCCAACAGCTTATCTCTCACTGGTCACAGAAGAACAGAACCAAGAAACTCATATGTGTATGTATTTCCTTTGGCATCAGCCGCGAGAAGTTTGAAAGCCTTGTTGGATCGTGGCCGCGCGAATGTGACACCAGCGAATGTTCAACTTTAAGTGGACTCTGTGACTTGGAGAGCAGAAAGGAACGAAGTATACGAATATACGTTATGTACCATGTACCTGCATCGCATACTCGACCACGTATCTCTTCTTCTTCTTTTCATTCTTTTTTTCTTCTTTCTTTCTTTGAGCCAAAAGCTGCAAGAAAGGAAGACGAGAAATGAAGAGAAGAGGGAACCTGCGTTCCGGTTTCTCCTGAAATTACTCGGTTCCATCGCGTTGACCCCTCTCGCGCCCGGCCCGGGTTTCCACCATTTTCACGGTTGCTCCCCGTCACTTCTTTTCACATCTAAAAAAGACCCTTCACTCTTTTTCTACGTGTTCACTCACGTTGCATGACTGTCTGTTACGACGAGTTGTCTTGGGATGTGTTTCTTCGTTCCGTGACAGGCAAGATTTAATTTAGTAAATAGTAAGACTTGCAGTTCTATCAATTTAGTATTTATAAATTATGTATGTATTATTCGATGTGTAAGACCACCGAGAATGTCCTCAAGTCCCATCCTTCTTTACTATTGGTCAAGGATTATGTGCATAAAATAATAATGCCAAGACTTTGTTCCATTCATTTATTAATCACAATTTAGTCAATTTCATAATAGATTATATTAAGTGTCTCAATTTCTGTGCACAT